GTTGTTGTGGGCCGATGGATCCATTAGTGCATCGGCACCATGCCGACGCACGCCGATGCACCCATTGGTGTATCAGCTTTATGCCGTTCCGTGCCGATGTATCCATAAATGCATCGGCTTCATGCCGATGCGCGCCGATGGATCTATTGGTGCATCAGTACCATGCCGACGCACGCCGATGCATGCCATGCCGACGCACGCCGATGCATGCCTTGGTGCATCAGTACCATGCCAATGTGTGCCGATGCATCCTTTGGTGCTTCGACATCGTGCCGACGTGCGCGGATGCATCCATTGGTGCATTGGCACCATGCCGTTGTGCGCCGATGCATGCCTTGGTGCATCGGCACCTTGCCCATGTCCGCCGATGCATGTAGGGGTGCATCGGCACCATGCCAACGCACGTCAATGCACCCATTGATGCATCAGCTTCATGCCGATTTGCACCGATGTATCCATTGGTGCATCGGCACCATGCCAATGCACGCCAATGCACCCATGGGTGCTTCAGCACCATGCCGATGCGCGCCGATAGATCCGTTGGTGCATTGGCACAATGCCGACGCATGACGATGCACACATTGGTGCATCCGCACCATGCCGATGCGCGCCGATGGATCCATTTGTGCAACAGTACCATGCTGATGCGCGCCGATGCATCCTTTGGTGCATCGGCATTGTGCCGACGTGCGCCGATGCATCTATTGGTGCATCGGAACCATGTTGTTGTGGGCTGATGGATCCATTAGTGCATCGGCACCATGTTGTTGTGGGCCGATGGATCCATTAGTGCATCGGCACCATGTCGACGCACGCCGATGCACCCATTGGTGCATCAGCTTCATGCCGATCCACGCCGATGTATCTATTGGTACATCGGCATAATGCCAATACATGACGATGCACCCATGGGTGCTTCAGCACCATGCAGATGCGCGCCGATAAATCTATTCATGCATCAGTACCATGCCGACGCACGCCGATGCATGCCATGCCGACGCACGCTGATGCATGCCTTGGTGCATCAGCACTATGCCGATGTGTGCCGATGCATCGTATGGTGCATCAACATCATGCAGACGCGCGCCGATGCATCCATTGGTGCATTGGCACCATGCCGTTGTGCACTGATGCATGCCTTGGTGCATCGGCACCTTGCCCATGTCCGCCTATGCGCGCCGATGGATCCATTGGTGCATCAGTACCATGCCGACGCATGCCGATGCATGCTTTGGTGCATTAGTACCATGCTGATGTGTGCCGATGCATCCTTTGGAGCATCGGCATCTTGCCGACGTGCGCCGATGCATCCATTGGTGCATCGGAACCATGTTGTTGTGGGCCGATGGACCCATTAGTGCATCGGCACCATGCCGACGCACGCCGATGCACCCATTGGTGCATCAGCTTCATGTCGATCCGTGCCGATGTATCCATTAATGCATCCGCTTCATGCCGATGTGCGCCGATGGATCTATTGGTGCATCAGTACCATGCCGACGCACGCCGATGCATGCCATGCCGACGCACGCCGATGCATACCTTGGTGCATCAGTACCATGCCGATGTGTGTCGATGCATCCTTTGGTGCTTTGACATCGTGCCGACGTGCGCGGATGCATCCATTGGTGCATTGGCACCATGCCGTTGTGCGTCGATGCATGCCTTGGTGCATCGGCACCTTGCCCATGTCCGCTGGGGTGCATCAGCACCATGCCAACGCACGTCGATGCACCCATTGGTGCATCAGCTTCATGCCGATTTGCACCGATGTATCCATTGGTGCATCCGCACCATGCCGATGCGCGCCGATGGATCCATTGGTGCAACAGTACATGCCGACGCGTGCCGATGCATGCCTTGCTGCATCAGTACCATGCTGATGCGCGCCGATGCAACCTTTGGTGCATCGGCATCGTGCCGACGTGCGCCGATGCATCCATTGGTGCATCGTAACCATGTTGTTGTGGGCCGATGGATCCATTAGTGCATCGGCACCATGTTGACGCACGCCGATGCACCCATTGGTGCATCAGCTTCATGCCGATCCACGCCGATGTATCCATTGGTACATTGGCATAATGCCGACACATGACGATGCACCCATGGGTCCTTCAGCACCATGCCGATTTGCACCGATGTATCCATTGGTGCATCCGCACCATGCCGATGCGCGCCGATGGATCCATTGGTGCAACAGTACCATACTGACGCGTGCCGATGCATGCCTTGCTGCATCAGTACCATGCTGATGCGCGCCAATGCATCCTTTGGTGCATCAGAACCATGTTGTTGTGGGCCGATGGATCCATTAGTGCATCGGCACCATGTCGACGCACGCCGATGTACCCATTGGTGCATCAGCTTCATGCCAATCCACGCCGATGTCTCCATTGGTACATCGGCATAATGCCAACACATGACGATGCACCCATGGGTGCTTCAGCACCATGCCGATACGCGCCGATAAATCTATTGGTGCATCAGTACCATGCCGACGCACGCAGATGCATGCCATGCCGACGCACGCCGATGCATGCCTTGGTGCATCAGCACTATGCCGATGTGTACCGATGCATCGTATGGTGCATCGACATCATGCCGACGTGCGCCGATGCATCCATTGGTGCATTGGCACCATGCCGTTGTGCGCTGATGCATGCCTTGGTGCATCGGCACCTTGCCCATGTCGGCCGATGCATCCATGGGTGCATCCGCACCATGCCGACACACGCCGAAGCACCCGTTGGTGCATCAGCTTCATGCCGATTTGCGCCGATGTATCCATTGGTGCATGGACACCATGTCGATGCACGCCGATAGATCCATTGGTGCGTCGGCACCATCCTGACGCACGCCGATGCACATATTGGTGCATTGGCTTTATGCCGATCCGCACCGATGTATCCATTGGTGCATCGGCACAATGCCGACGCATGACGATGCACACATTGGTGCATCCGCACCATGTCGATGCGCGCCGATGGATCCATTGGTGCAACAGTACCATGCCGACACATGCCGATGCATGCCTTGCTGCATCAGTACTATGCTGATGCGCGTTGATGCATCCTTTGGTGCATCGGCATCGTGCCGACGTGCGCCGATGCATCCATTGGTGCATCGGAACCATGTTGTTGTGGGCCGATGGATCCATTAGTGCGTCGGCACCATGTCGTCGCACGCCGATGCACCCATTGGTGCATCAGCTTCATGCCAATCCACGCCGATGTCTCCATTGGTACATCGGCATAATGCCAACACATGACGATGCACCCATGGGTGCTTCAGCACCATGCCGATGCGCGCCGATAAATCTATTGGTGTATCATTTCCATGCTGACGCACGCCGATGCATGCCATGCCGACGCACGCCGATGCATGCCTTGGTGCATCAGCACTATGCCGATGTGTGCCGATGCATCGTATGGTGCATCGACATCATGCCGACGTGCGCAGATGCATCCATTGGTGCATTGACACCATGCCATTGTGCGCCGATGCATGCCTTGGTGCATCGGCACCTTGCCCATGTCCGCCGATGCATCCATGGGTGCATCCGCACCATGTCGATGCACCCATTGGTGCATCAGCTTCATGCCGATTTGCGCCGATGTATCCATTGGTGCATCGACACCATGTCGACGCACGCCGATGCACCCATGGGTGCTTCAGCACCATGCCGATGCACGCCGATAGATCCATTGGTGCGTTGGCACCATCCCGACGCACACCGATGCACATATTGGTGCATCAGCTTTATGCCGATCCGCACCGATGTATCCATTGGTGCATCGGCACAATACCGCCGAATGACGATGCACACATTGGTGCATCAGCAACATGCCGATGCGCGCCGATGAATGTCAGAACATTATAGCTTATGCTGTTGTGTAGGCTATAGTGGGGTATCCCATAGGGGGTACAATCAATTAGGGTTTCATATTTGTACTCACTTCATTTTTCATAGTTCACTCATTCTCGTTCTCATTATCACATGGAATCAGAGCAGGTCCCCTCCTAGGGACTGTTCCTTGGGCCCACCGAAGCGCGCCTCGAGTCGCGCCTACCTTTTTTTTAGCGGCCCGTCGAGTCGCACCTAGCGGCCCGTCGCGCCGCCCTTACGGTCGCGTCGAGCCGCCCTAGCGGCTGCGGCGCGCCGCCCTTTTCCCGGCCCGTCGCCGCCCTTACCCGCGGCTTTGCGCCGCCCTCACCGGCGGCTTCGCGCCGCCCCTACCTGCGGCTTCGCGCCGCCCAGGCCCGTCGCCGCCCTTCCCGCGGCTTCGCGCCGCCTCTACCTGCGGCTTCGAGCCGCCCCGGCCCGTCGCCGCCCTTACCTGCGGCTTCGCGCCGCCTACGGCCCGTCGCCGCCCTTTTCTGCGGCCCCGCCGCCTCTCTCGTTGCGACCCCGCCGCCCGTCTTCGCGGCCCCGCCGCCATCTCTCGCTGCGGCCCCGCCGCCACTCACTGCGGCCCCGCCACCCGTCTCAGCGGCCCCGCCGCCCGTCTTCGCGGCCCCGCCGCCTCTCTCGCTGCGGCCCCGCCGCCTCTCACTGCGGCCCCGCCGCCCTACTCAGCGGCCCCGCCGCCCGACTTCGCGGCCCCGCCGCTTCTCTCGCTGCGGCCCCGCCGCCTCTCTCGTTGCGGCCCCGCCGCCCTTCACTGCGGCCCCGCCGCTTCTCTACAGCGGCCCCGCCGCCCTACGTCAGCGGCCCAGCCGAGCCGCCCAGCAGCAGAGCAGCCGAGCCGCCCCGCCGCCGAGCCGCGCTGCAGCCGAGCCGCCCGGCCGCCCACCAGCCGAGCCGCCGTGCAGCCGACCGCCCAGCCGCCGAGCCGCCCAGCTGCCGAGCCGCCCAGCCGCCGAGCCGCCCAGCCGCCGAGCCGCCCAGCGGCCGAGCCGCCCTGCAGCCGAGCCGCCCGAGCAGACCTGTCCGGTGAGCACAGACCCTCTGTCACTGCGTGCTCTTCCCCTACTCCTTGCACTGCTGGTCTACTGCTGTCATGGCTACCCCTAGTGTCCTCACTTTTGACGCTGAGGGTCGGGCCATTGACTTTGAGGTCTGGGTAGATGACCTACAGCTGTTCTTACAGTGCGATAGGGCGGACGGCCTCTCTCTCTTTGACCTCACCTCTGGCGCTTCCCCTGCCCCTGCTGCTGATGCTGACGCCACTGTTCACTCCCAGTGGGCCACGCGCGATGCTGCTGCACGTCTTGCTGTGCGTCGCCACCTCCCTACCTCCGAGCGTGCGCACTTTAGTCAGTACAAGAGTGCTCAGACCTTGTACGCCGCTGTAGTCGCGCGCTACTCCTCCCCTTCCACTGCTGCACTGAGCCATCTCATGCTGCCGTACCTCTTCCCTGACCTTGCTTCTTTTCCCACCGTTGCTGACCTCATTACGCACCTCCGCACTAGTGACACTCGCTACCGCGCTGCACTTCCTGCTGACTTCTGCACCGCGAACCCCCCCCCATGTACATCACTCTGTACTTCCTAGTCACTCGCCTCCCTGACTCCCTTCGAGTAGTCAGGGACCACTTTCTCTCAGTCTGTCCCACCACACTCACTGTAGACCTCCTCGAGAAGGCCCTCCTCGCGATAGAAAAGAGCATAGTCGCTGTAGGAGCCTCTCGAGGTGACCCGCGCACCCCCATCTTTGAGGGGTGTTCTCCCTCCCCCCTGCTGCCCTCTGTTGCCTCTGCTGCTTCGGCCGACCTCCTTGGTCTTGAGTCGGTCGGTGCGGTGTCTGCCACTAGCGGGAGACGCCGCCCTGGCAAGGGCAAGGGGGGCAAGGGAGCTGGAGGAGCGGGCGGTGGAGGTGGAGGTGGAGGCAGTGGGGGGAGTGGGGGTAGCGGTGGAGGTGGAGGTGGGGGTGGGGGGTTCGGTGGCGGCAGTGGAGGCGGAGGCCGCGGCGGCGGTGGCGGTGGTAGCGGAGGTGGCGGAGGAGGCGGCGGTGGAGGAGGCGGTGGAGGCGGCGGCGGCAGTGGAGGCAGCGGAGGCGGTGGAGGCGGTGGGGGTGGCGGTGGAGCTGGTCGCGGGTCTTTGCAGAGGAGTGGCTCCGGTGGTGGCTCGCGCCAGCAGCAGCAGCGTGGTCGTGCGACCCTGTCCCCTCAGCAGCTCCGTGAGTGGTACACTGCACGCCAGCGGGGTGGGGGTTTTGGTCCGTGTACCTACGTCCTGCGCACCGGCGACCGTGCGGGTGAGCAGTGTGGGGGTGCGCACCCCACTCCGCGCTGCTTTGGCCGCCTGACGGACGCATGGCGTCACCAGTTCCCGGAGGCCTCCGAGATCCCTCGCTGGGACGAGCTGTCTAGGGCGGGGGTTGCCATCTTTGATCTGGACTTTGATGCTATTCTCTCTGCCATGTATGCTGTGTCTATTAGTGATGAGGGTGACTGTTACCGGTGTTTCCAGCCTGATCCAGGCATTGAGACTGCTGCTCTAGGTACTGGTGAGGCTGCTGTCCTAGGTGCTTACGACGCTGCTGCTCTAGGTGCTGGTGTGTCTGCGTCCTCAGGTACTGGTGAGTCTGCTCTCTCAGGTACCGCGTCGGCTTCGGCCTCCCTCACCTTCACTCTTGACTCTGGGGCGTCTCGCTCCTTCTTTCGGGACCGCACCACACTCACGCCGCTTAGTCGGCCGGTTGCGGTGTCTCTGGCTGACCCCTCTGGGGGTCCGGTCCTGTCTCGTTTCTCCACAGTCCTCCCGTGTCCGGCGGCTCCCTCTGGCACCCTGTCTGGTCTCTACCTCCCCTCGTTCTCGACGAACCTGGTGAGTGGTGCTGACCTACAGGATGCGGGTGTCCACCAGTTCACTCCTGCACGTCAGCGAGTGACCCACTGTACAGAGGCTGGCACAGGCCGACACCTGGCTACGTTCACCCGTCAGCCGGGGTCGAGCCTGTACACTCTGACCACTGCGTCTCCTCCAGTTGCTGAGTCTGGTAGGGTAGTTACGTCGGGTCAGGTGTTTGCTGCGGCGTCCAGGTCTGGTCCTGAGTCTGCCCCCTGTTCGTGTCGTCTCCTGTCTCACGAGACTCTCCTCTGGCACCACCGCCTTGGCCACCCCTCTCTGCTTCGGCTCAGAGGTATGGCCTCCCGTCTTCTTGTGTCCGGTCTCCCCCGGTCCCTCCCTCCCCTTCCTCAGGGCCCTGGCCCTGCCTGTGTCCCCTGTGTCGAGGGGCGCCAGCGTGCTGCCCCTCACTCCTCCCAGTTTCCTTCGACAGAGGCCCCGTTGCAGACACTTCACATGGACGTGTGGGGCCCAGCCCGCGTCCGTGGACAGGGTCACGAGCGCTACTTCCTGCTCGTTGTTGACGACCACTCGCGTTACACCACAGTCTTCCCCTTGCGCAGCAAGGGTGATGTCACTGAGGTGCTGATCGACTGGATCCGCGCAGCTCGTCTCCAGCTCAGGCAGAGCTTCGGCTCGGACTTTCCTGTTCTGCGTCTGCACTCGGACAGAGGCGGAGAGTTCTCCTCTGGCCTTCTGCGTGCCTACTGTCGTGCACGGGGCATCCGTCAGACCTTCACGCTTCCGGACTCACCGCAGCAAAATGGGATTGCTGAGCGCCGCATTGGCATGGTCATGGACGTCGCTCGTACGTCTATGATGCATGCGGCTGCCCCCCATTTTCTGTGGCCGTTTGCGGTGAGGTACGCGGCGCATCAGATCAACCTCCACCCCAGGGTCTCCAGGCCGGAGACCTCCCCAGCCTTGCTGTGGACGGGGAAGGTTGGCGATGCGTCGGCGTTCCGGGTCTGGGGATCTCGGGCGTTTGTCCGCGACCTGTCTGCGGACAAACTATCCCCTCGTGCTGCTCCTTGCGTCTTCCTGGGGTTCCCCCCTGACGCGCCTGGGTGGCAGTTTTACCACCCCACCTCTCGCCGTGTTCTGTCCTCCCAGGACGTCACGTTTGACGAGTCGGTCCCCTACTACCGCCTCTTCCCCTACCGCACTCCGTCCCTCCCCCCACCCCCACTCTTCCTGGTACCAGGTCCCCCCCAGGTAGACCCCCTCCCCCCTCAGGGTCCTGCCCCTTCAGGTGTGTCCCAGGTAGACGCAGTCGAGCCTGTCGAGGTCACTGGTGACTCTGGTGCTGCTGAGGGTGCTGAGGCTGGGGGTGCTGTACCTGGGGGTGCGGAGCCTAGGGGTGCTGGGCCTGGGGGTGCTACGTCTGGGGGTGCTGAGCCTAGGGGTGCTGAGCCTAGGGGTGCTGAGCCTGGGGGTGCTGAGCCTGGGGGTGCTGAGCCTAGGGGTGCTACGCCTGGGGGTGCTGAGCCTGGAGGTGCTCCGCCTGGAGGTTCTCCGAGTGCTTCGTCTCGCCGGGAGCCACTTTCTCCACAGGAGCTGCGTGAGTGGTTTGCCCGGCGCTGGAGGCGTGCTGCTGGTGCTGGAGGTCCTTCGGCTGCTGAGGGTGCTGCGGTCGCGGGTCCCAGAGGTGCTCGTCCTGGGTGCACTGGAGCTGGTGCTGCTGAGGGTGTTGGCGCTGAGACTACCGCTGGCAGTCCTACTGGGGGTGCTCCTGGTGCTGCTGGAGGTTCTGGAGCTACTGGTGGTGCTGCTGGAGCGGGTGCTCCTGCTGAGGGTTCTGGTGCTGTCCCTGCTGCTTCTAGCGTCGCCGCGCGGCCTCGACCGTACTTCGTTCCACTCCTGCAGCAGGTTCTTGGTCTTCCACCTTGTACTGGTCCTCCTCCTCCCTTAGAGTGTCCACAGCCTGTCTCGTCCAAGCTACAGTTGCAGCCTACCTCCCCTTTGCCTGCTCCTTCTCCCTACACTGGTCCTACTGGAGGTCTGGCTGAGCGTCGTGAGCCTGCGTCTCGCCCTGCGTCGCCTGTCCGTGCTGCTCGCACTAGTGGTCGCGGTTCGCGTCAGCGTCCTCCTCCTGTCCCTGGCACGCACCGGATGTCTCTGCGTCCGTCCACTGCTCCTCTGCGTGCCCCTTTACCTTCTCCTCCTGAGTCCTCTCTTCCTGCTCTTCCTGACCCGGAGTCGGACTCCCTTCGTGCTGCCAGTCCTACTGTCACGCGTCTCCTTGCTACTGTTGTCACTGACCCTTCTTTCGAGTCTACTGCTGCGTCTGCTCTCGTTACTGAGCTCAACGACTTTGCTGCTCGCTGTCGCTTAGACTACGCTGCTAGTCTTGTCGCTGAGTCTGAGTCTGTCTGTCCTCCGTCCGTCGGGGGTGAGTGTGCCCTTGGCACGGACGTCCTTGAGGACAGGCAGGAGGAGTTCCAGTGTCTGGCAGCTGCCTCACCTCATCTCGTGTCCGTACGGCTTACCCCTGAGGGAGACCCGGATGCACTTGACATCCCGACTCCGCGCTCTTACGCGGAGGCGATAGAGGGTCCCTACTCCTCTCAGTGGCAGGCAGCTATGGATGCAGAGATGGCTTCCTGGAAGTCCACAGGCACCTACGTTGACGCTGTCCCCCCTCCTGGGGCGAACATCGTCAGTGGCATGTGGATCTTCAGGGTGAAGCGGCCGCCGGGTTCTCCGCCTGTCTTCAAGGCGCGTTACGTGGCTCGTGGCTTCAGTCAGCGGCAGGGAGTTGACTACTTTCAGACCTTCTCCCCCACCCCGAAGATGACCACTCTTCGGGTACTGCTGCACGTTGCTGCTCACCGTGACTACGAGCTGCACTCTCTTGACTTCAGCACAGCTTTCTTGCAGGGCAGCCTGCACGAGGAGATCTGGCTGCGTCGCCCACCTGGCTTCACTGGGTCTTTCCCTCCTGGTACCCAGTGGAGTCTCCGGCGTCCAGTCTACGGTCTCCGCCAGGCGCCACGTGAGTGGCACGACACACTGAGGACTACGCTTGCGGCTCTTGGGTTTGCTCCTTCTACTGCCGACCCGTCGCTGTTTCTACGCACCGACACCTCTCTGCCGCCGTTCTACATCCTCGTGTACGTCGACGACTTGGTCTTTGCCACAGCTGACACTGCTGGACTCGCCTACGTGAAGTCCGAGCTGCAGAAGAGACACACGTGCACAGACCTGGGTGAACTGCGCAGCTACCTTGGCTTGCAGATCACCCGGGACAGAGCACGCCGCACCATTACCCTGACTCAGTCACACATGGTGCAGCAGGTCCTTCAGCGCTTCGGCTTCACGTACTCCTCGCCTCAGGCCACTCCTCTGTCTACTCGCCACTCGCTCTCAGCTCTGCCTTCGGATGAGTCCGTAGAGTCGAGTGGCCCGTACCCAGAGCTTGTTGGCTGCCTCATGTACCTGATGACCTGCACACGACCTGACCTCGCATACCCTCTTAGCATTCTTGCACGCTATGTTGCTCCTGGGAGACACAGACCAGAGCACATGGCTGCAGCGAAGAGGGTGTTGCGCTACTTGTGCAGTACGTCGGGCATGGGGCTAGTGCTTGGAGGGCGGAGTCCAGTGGTCCTCACTGGGCATGCGGACGCTTCTTGGGCTGACGACCAGGCTACGCAGCGGTCGTCACAGGGTTACACCTTCAGCCTTGGTTCCGGCTCTGTTTCGTGGCGGGCTACTCGCTCGTCTTCTGTTCTTGGCTCGAGTTGTGAGGCTGAGATCTACGCCAGGGCCATGGCTGCACAGGAGCTTCGCTGGCTCACCTACCTGCTGACCGACCTTGGAGAGCCGCCTCGTTCTCCTCCAGTCCTGTACGTAGACAACAAGGCCATGCTGGCCTTGTGTCGAGAGCAGCGACTGGAGCACAGAACAAAGCACATTGCTCTCCGCTACTTCCTTGCTCGTGAGCTACAGCAACGTGGACAGTTGCGGCTTGCGTACGTGGCCTCTGAGGCCAACACTGCTGATGTCTTCACCAAGGCACTTCCGCCTTGTGATCATCAGCGCTTCTGCACTCAGCTGGGTCTTGTGCCTGTCTTGCCTCACTTGCTCTCCTCTTGACCTTGCTTGTACTCTCACATATATATATACCTGCTCTTGCTTGTCTAGCTTTATATATATGTGTGTACTCTTGCATGTGAACTGGCCGTGTGGCCTTGACCCTGTGCTCGGACTGTGTGGTGACTTTGTGATCCACCCTGAGCTTGCTTTGCTTTGCTTTGCTTGACTGGTCTTGTGACCCCTTGTTCTCCCCCACTTTGCCTATGGGGGTGTGTCAGAACATTATAGCTTATGCTGTTGTGTAGGCTATAGTGGGGTATCCCATAGGGGGTACAACCAATTAGGGTTTCATATTTGTACTCACTTCATTTTCATAGTTCACTCATTCTCGTTCTCATTATCACAATGAATCCATCGGTGCATCAGTACCATGCCGACGCGCGCCGATGCATGCTTTGGTGCATTAGTACCATGCTGATGTGCGCCGATGCATCCTTTGGAGCATCGGCATCGTGCCAATGTGCGCCGATGCATCCATTAGTGCATCGGAACCATGTTGTTGTGGGCCGATGGATCCATTAGTGCATCGGCACCATGTCGACGCACGCCGATGCACCCATTGGTGCATCAGCTTCATGCCGATCCACGCCGATGTATCTATTGGTACATCGGCATAATGCCAACACATGACGATGCACCCATGGGTGCTTCAGCACCATGCCGATGCGCGCCGATAAATCTATTGGTGCATCAGTACCATGCCGATGCACGCCGATGCATGCCATGCCGACGCACGCTGATGCATGCCTTGGTGCATCAGCACTCTGCCGATGTGTGCCGATGCATCATATGGTGCATCGACATCATGCAGACGTGCGCCGATGAATCCATTGGTGCATTGGCACCATGCCGTTGTGCGCTGATGCATGCCTTGGCGCATCGGCACCTTGCCCATGTCCGCCGATGCGCGCCGATGGATCCATTGGTGCATCAGTACCATGCCGACGCGCGCCGATGCATGCTTTGGTGCATTAGTACCATGCTGATGTGCGCCGATGCATCCTTTGGAGCATCGGCATCGTGCCGACGTGCGCCGATGCATCCATTGGTGCATCGGAACCATGTTGTTGTGGGCCGATGGATCCATTAGTGCATCGGCACCATGCCGACGCACGCCGATGCACCCATTGGTGCACCAGCGTCATGCCGATCTGTGCCGATGTATCTATTAATGCTCGGCTTCATGCTGATGCGCGCCGATAGATCTATTGATGCATCAGTACCATGCCGACGCACGCCGATGCATGCCATACCGACTCACGCCGATGCATGCCTTGGTGCATCAGTACCATGCCGATGTGTGCCGATGCATCCTTTGGTGCTTCGACATCGTGCCGACGTGCGCGGATGCATCCATTGGTGCATCAGCACCATGCCGTTGTGCGCCGATGCATGCCTTGGTGCATCGGCACCATGCCAACGCACGTCGATGCACCCATTGGTGCATCAGCTTCATGCCGATTTGCACCGATGTATCCACTGGTGCATGGGCACCATGCCGATGCACGCCAATGCACCCATGGGTGCTTCAGCACCATGCCAATGCGCGCCGATTAATCCATTGGTGCATTGGCACAATGCCGACGCATGACGATGCACACATTGGTGCATCCGCACCATGCCGATGCGTGCCGATGAATCCATTGGTGCAACAGTACCATGCCGACGCGTGCCGATGCATGCCTTGCTGCATCAGTACCATGCTGATGCGCGCCAATGCATCCTTTGGTGCATCGGCATTGTGCCGACGTGCGCCGATGCATCCATTAGTGCATCAGAACCATGTTGTTGTGGGCCGATGGATCCATTAGTGCATCGGCACCATGTCGACGTACGCCGATGCACCCATTGGTGCATCAGTTTCATGCCGATCCATGCCGATGTATCTATTGGTACATCGGCATAATGCCAACACATGACGATGCACCCATGGGTGCTTCAGCATCATGCCGATGCGCGTCGATAAATCCTTTGGTACATCGGTACCATGCCGACGCACGCCGATGCATGTCATGCCGACGCACGCCAATGCATGCCTTGGTGCATCACCACTATGCCAATGTGTGCCGATGCATCGTATGGTGCATCGACATCATGCCGACGTGCGCCGATGCATCCATTGGTGCATTGGCACCATGCCGTTGTGCGCCGATGCATGCCTTGGTGCATCGGCACCTTGCCCATGTCCGCCGATGCATCCATGGTTGCATCCGCACCATGCTGACGCACGCCGATGCACCCATTGGTGCATCAGCTTCATGCCGATTTGCGCCGATGTATCCATTGGTGCATCGACAATATGTCGACACACGCCGATGCACCCATGAGTGCTTTAACACCATGCTGATGCACGTCGATAGATCCATTGGTGCGTCGGCACCATCCCGACGCACGCCGATGCTCATATTGGTGCATCAGCTTTATGCCGATCCGCACCGATGTATCCATTGGTGCATCGGCACAATACCGACGCATGACGATGCACACATTGGTGCATCAGCACCATGCCGATGCGCGCCGATGGATCCATTGGTGCATCAGTACCATGCCGACGTGCGCCGATGCATGCTTTGGTGCATTAGTACCATGCTGATGTGCGCCGATGCATCTTTTGGAGCATCGGCATTGTGCCGACGTGCGCTGATGCATCCATTGGTGCCGACACAGCCCCCATTGCAGGCGCCGAACTATTTGGTGCGCACGAACCAAGCTGGAATTGCTCTGGTAGGTGTATTTGAGCATGGGCCACCCGAATATGCAACAACATTCAGGTCGTTCGATGCTTTCCCCTACGCCTATGAAGATTCATGCACTTCGTTACCATTTGTCGGCAGACACAGCCGTCATCGCAGGCGCCGAACTTTTTGGTGCGCACGAACCAAGCTGAAATTGCTTTGGTAGGTGTATTTGAGCATAGGCCACCCGAATATGCAACAACATTCAGGTCGTTCGATGCTTTTCCCTAAGCCTATGAGGATTCATGCACTCCGTTACCATTTGTCGGCAGACACAGCCACCATCGTAGGCGCCGAACTTTTTGGTGCGCACGAACCAAGCTGGACTTGCTCTGATAGGTACCTACACACAAGCATACATACAAGCCGTACCGGCCGACGCATTTTCTCTCTGTATGTATTCCCATTTCCTTTAACTGATACCATTCCCCACCCCCCTACCATATTTTAACCAATCGGATTTATGTAATTTGGCAGATATATACATTCCAGTCGTACATGGTACCTGCACTAGAGGCGCGCATACCGACCAAACTGACCAGCGCATTACGTATGTTTGTAGAGATGCAGTTAGTGCCATATTCTTGCCAATCCACTAGATTAGGCCTTCTACTTCAACAACACTTGGTTAAAACCTTTCCGATCCACATAATTTGGCAGATTTCAGAGTTTCAGCTCCGCCTTGTACCTACACGCAAGCGTGCATACTGACCTTACCAGCCGACACATTATTCTCTCTGTACACGTACAGTGAATACCATATATGTTCCCATTTCCTTTAAATTAAACCATTCCCCACCCCCCTACCATTTTTTAACCTATCTAATCTATGTAATTTGGCAGATAAATGCATTTCAGTCGCACATGGTACCTGCACTACAGGCGCCCATACCGACCAAACTGACCAGCGCATTACGTATGTTTATAGAGATGTAGTTAGTGCCATATTCTTGCCAGTCCATTAGATTAGGCCGTCTACTTCAACAACACTAGGTTATAACCTTTCCGATCCACATAGTTTGGGAGATTTCAGAGTTCCAGCTCCGCCTTGTACCTACACACAAGCGTGCATACAGGCCTTACCGGCCGACGCATTTTCTCTCCGTATGTATTCCCATTTCCTTTAACTGATACCATTCCCCACCCCCCTACCATGTTTTAACCAATCGGATCTATGTAATTTGGCAGATATATACATTCCAGTCGTACATGGTACCTGCACTACAGGCGCGCATACCGACCAAACTGACCAGCGCATTAAGTATGTTTGTAGAGATGGAGTTAGTGCCATATTCTTGCCAGTCCACTAGATTAGGCCTTCTACTTCAACAACACGTGGTTAAAACCTTTCCGATCCACATAATTTGACAGATTTCAGAGTTTCAGCTCCGCCTTGTACCTACACGCAAGCGTGCATACTGACCTTACCAGCCGACACATTATTCTCTCTGTACACGTACAGTGAATGCCATATATATTCCCATTTCATTTAAATTAAACCATTCCCCACCCCCCTACCATTTTTTAACCTATATAATCTATGTAATTTGGCAGATAAATGCATTTCAGTCGCACATGGTACCTGCACTACAGGCGCCCATACCGACCAAACTGACCAGCGCATTACGTATGTTTATAGAGATGTAGTTAGTGCCATATTCTTGCCAGTCCATTAGATTAGGCCGTCTACTTCAACAACACTAGGTTATAACCTTTCCGATCCACATAGTTTGGGAGATTTCAGAGTTCCAGCTCCGCCTTGTACCTACACACAAGCGTGCATACAGGCCTTACCGGCCGACGCATTTTCTCTCCGTATGTATTCCCATTTCCTTTAACTGATACCATTCCCCACCCCCCTACCATGTTTTAACCAATCGGATCTATGTAATTTGGCAGAAATATACATTCCAGTTGTACATGATACCTGCACTACAGGCGCGCATACCGACCAAACTGACCAGCGCATTACGTATGTTTGTAGAGATGCAGTTAGTGCCATATTCTTGCCAGTCCACTAGATTAGGCCTTCTACTTCAACAACACGTGGTTAAAACCTTTCCGATCCACATAATTTGACAGATTTCAGAGTTTCAGCTCCGCCTTGTACCTACACGCAAGCGTGCATACTGACCTTACCAGCCGACACATTATTCTCTCTGTACACGTACAGTGAATACCATATATGTTCCCATTTCCTTTAAATTAAACCATTCCCCATCCCCCTACCATTTTTTAACCTATCTAATCTATGTAATTTGGCAGATAAATGCATTTCAGTCGCACATGGTACCTGCACTACAGGCGCCCATACCGACCAAACTGATCAGCGCATTACGTATGTTTATAGAGATGTAGTTAGTGCCACATTCTTGCCAGTCCATTAGATTAGGCCGTCTACTTCAACAACACTAGGTTATAACCTTTCCGATCCACATAGTTTGGGAGATTTCAGAGTTCCAGCTCCGCCTTGTACCTACACACAAGCGTGCATACAGGCCTTACCGGCCGACGCATTTTCTCTCCGTATGTATTCCCATTTCCTTTAACTGATACCATTCCCCACCCCCCTACCATGTTTTAACCAATCGGATCTATGTAATTTGGCAGATATATACATTCCAGTCGTACATGGTACCTGCACTACAGGCGCGCATACCGACCAAACTGACCAGCGCATTAAGTATGTTTGTAGAGATGGAGTTAGTGCCATATTCTTGCCAGTCCACTAGATTAGGCCTTCTACTTCAACAACACGTGGTTAAAACCTTTCCGATCCACATAATTTGACAGATTTCAGAGTTTCAGCTCCGCCTTGTACCTACACGCAAGCGTGCATACTGACCTTACCAGCCGACACATTATTCTCTCTGTACACGTACAGTGAATGCCATATATATTCCCATTTCATTTAAATTAAACCATTCCCCACCCCCCTACCATTTTTTAACCTATCTAATCTATGTAATTTGGCAGATAAATGCATTTCAGTCGCACATGGTACCTGCACTACAGGCGCCCATACCGACCAAACTGACCAGCGCATTACGTATGTTTATAGAGATGTAGTTAGTGCCATATTCTTGCCAGTCCATTAGATTAGGCCGTCTACTTCAACAACACTAGGTTATAACCTTTCCGATCCACATAGTTTGGGAGATTTCAGAGTTCCAGCTCCGCCTTGTACCTACACACAAGCGTGCATACAGGCCTTACCGGCCGACGCATTTTCTCTCCGTATGTATTCCCATTTCCTTTAACTGATACCATTCCCCACCCCCCTACCATGTTTTAACCAATCGGATCTATGTAATTTGGCAGATATATACATTCCAGTCGTACATGGTACCTGCACTACAGGCGCGCATACCGACCAAACTGACCAGCGCATTACGTATGTCTGTAGAGATGCAGTTAGTGCCATATTCTTGCCAGTCCACTAGATTAGGCCTTCTACTTCAACAACACTTGGTTAAAACCTTTCCGATCCACAAAATTTGGCAGATTTCAGAGTTCCAGCTCCGCCTTGTACCTACACGCAAGCGTGCATACTGACCTTACCAGCCGACACATTATTCTCTCTGTACACGTACAGTGAATACCATATATGTTCCCATTTCCTTTAAATTAAACCATTCCCCATCCCCCTACCATTTTTTAACCTATCTAATCTATGTAATTTGGCAGATAAATGCATTTCAGTCGCACATGGTACCTGCACTACAGGCGCCCATACCGACCAAACTGATCAGCGCATTACGTATGTTTATAGAGATGTAGTTAGTGCCACATTCTTGCCAGTCCATTAGATTAGGCCGTCTACTTCAACAACACTAGGTTATAACCTTTCCGATCCACATAGTTTGGGAGATTTCAGAGTTCCAGCTCCGCCTTGTACCTACACACAAGCGTGCATACAGGCCTTACCGGCCGACGCATTTTCTCTCCGTATGTATTCCCATTTCCTTTAACTGATACCATTCCCCACCCCCCTACCATGTTTTAACCAATCGGATCTATGTAATTTGGCAGATATATACATTCCAGTCGTACATGGTACCTGCACTACAGGCGCGCATACCGACCAAACTGACCAGCGCATTACGTATGTCTGTAGAGATGCAGTTAGTGCCATATTCTTGCCAGTCCACTAGATTAGGCCTTCTACTTCAACAACACTTGGTTAAAACCTTTCCGATCCACATAATTTGGCAGATTTCAGAGTTTCAGAGGGGGAGAGGGCATGCCTCTCCCCCTCTCATGCCTTCCCCCTCTCATGCCTTCCCCCTCTCATGCCTTCCCCCTCTCATGCCTTCCCCCTCTCATGCCTTCCCCCTCTCATGCCTTCCCCCTCTCATGCCTTCCCCCTCTCATGCCTTGCCCCTCTCATGCCTTCCCCCTCTCATGCCTTCCCCCTCTCATGCCTTCCCCCTCTAATGCCTTCCCCCTCTCATGCCTTCCCCCTCTCATGCCTTCCCCCTCTCATGCCTTCCCCCTCTCATGCCTTCCCCCTCTCATGCCTTCCCCCTCTCATGCCTTCCCCCTCTCATGCCTTCCCCCTCTCATGCCTTCCCCCTCTCATGCCTTCCCCCTCTCATGCCTTCCCCCTCTCATGCCTTCCCCCTCTCATGCTCCCGCTTTCCATCACCCCGCCCCATTCTCCCTCCTTCCATCACCCCGCCCCATTCTCCCTCCTTCCATCACCCCGCCCCATTCTCTTTCTTTCCAACACCCCGCCCCATTCTCCCGCTTTCCATCACCCCGCCCCATTCTCCCTGATTCCATCACCCCGCCCTATTCTCCCTCCTTCCATCACCCCGCCCCATTCTCCCGCATTCCATCACCCCGCCCCATTCTCCCGCTTTCTATCACCCCGCCCTTTTCTCCCGCTTTCCATCACCCTGCCCCATTCTCCCGCTTTCCATCACCCCGCACCATTCTCCCGCTTTCCATCACCCCGCACCATTCTCCCCCTTTCCATCACCCCGCCCTTTTCTCCCGCTTTCCATCACCCTGCCCCATTCTCCCGCTTTCCATCACCCCGCACCATTCTCCCGCTTTCCATCACCCCGCACCATTCTCCCCCTTTCCATCACCCCGCCCCATTCTCCCGCTTTCCATCACCCCGCCCCATTCTCCCTCCTTCCATCACCCCGCCCCATTCTCCCTCCTTCCATCACCCCGCCCCATTCTCCCGCTTTCCATCACCCCGCCCCATTCCCCCGCTTTCCATCACCCCGCCCCATTCTCCCGCTTTCCTTCACCCCGTCCCATTCTCCCTCCTTCCATCACCACGCCCCATTCTCCCGCTTTCCTTCACCCCGTCCCATTCTCCCTCCTTCCATTACCCCGCCACATTCTCCCGCTTTCCATCACCCCGCCCCATTCTCCCTGATTCCATCACCCCGCCCTATTCTCCCTCCTTCCATCACCCCGCCCCATTCTCCCGCTTTCCATCACCCCGCCCCATTCTCCCGCTTTCCATCACCCCGCCCAATTCTCCCGCTTTCCATCACCCCGCCCCATTCTCCCGCTTTCCATCACCCCGCCCCATTCTCCCGCTTTCCATCACCCCACCCCATTCTCCCGCTTTCCATCACCCCGCCCCATTCTCCCGCTTTCCATCACCCCGCCCCATTTTCCCGCTTTCCATCACCCCGCCGCATTCTCCCGCTTTCCATCACCCGCCGCATTTTCCCGCTTTCCATAACCCCGCCCCAATCTCCCTCCTTCCATCACCCCGCCCCATTCTCCCGCTTTCCATCACCCCGCCCCATTCTCCCGCTTTCCTTCACCCCGCCCCATTCTCCCTCCTTCCATCACCCCGCCACATTCTCCCGCTTTCCATCACCCCGCCCCATTCTCCCGCTTTCCATCACCCCGCCCCATTCTCCCGCTTTCCATCACCCCGCCCCATTCTCGCTCCTTCCATCAGCCCGCCCCATTCTCCCTCCTTCCATCACCCCGCCCCATTCTCCCGCTTTCCATCACCCCGCACCATTCTCCCGCTTTCCATCACCCCGCCCCATTCTCCCGCTTTCCATCACCCCGCCCCATTCTCCCGCTTTCCATCACCCCGCCCCATTCTCCCTCCTTCCATCACCCCGCCCCATTCTCCCGCCTTCCATCACCCCGCCCAATTCTCCTGCTTTCCATCACCCCGCCCCATTCTCCCGCTTTCCATAACCCCGCCCCATTCTCCCGCTTTCCATCACCCCGCCCCATTCTCCCTCCTTCCATCATCCCGCCCCATTCTCCCTCCTTCCATCACCCCGCCCCATTCTCCCTCCTTCCATCACCCTGCCCCATTCTCCCGCCTTCCATCACCCCGCCCCATTCTCCCGCTTTCCATCAACCCGCCCCATTCTCCCGCTTTCCATCACCCCGCCCCATTCTCCCTCCTTCCATCATCCCGCCCCATTCTCCCTCCTTCCATCACCCCGCCCCATTCTCCCTCCTTCCATAACCCTGCCCCATTCTCCCTCCTTCCATCACCCCACCCCATTCTCCCGCTTTCCATCACCCCGCCCCATTCTCCCGCTTTCCTTTACCCCGCCCCATTCTCCCGCTTTCCATCACCCCGCCCCATTCTCCCGCTTTCCATCACCCCGCCCCATTCTCCCGCTTTCCATCACCCCACCCCATTCTCCTGCTTTTCATCACCCCGCCCCATTCTCCCTCCTTCCATCACCCCGCCCCATTCTCCCGCTTTCCATCACCCCGCCCCATTCTCCCTCCTTCCATCACCCCACCCCATTCTCCCTCCATCCATCACCCCGCCCCATTCTCCCGCTTTCCATCACCCCGCCCCATTCTCCCTGATTCCATCACCCCGCCCCATTCTCCCTCCTTCCATCACCCCGCCCCATTCTCTCGCTTTCCATCACCCCGCCCCATTCTCCCGCTTTCCATCACCCCGCCCCATTCTCCCGTTTTCCATCACCCCGCCCCATTCTCCCGCTTTCCATCACCCCGCCCCATTCTCCCACTTTCCATCACCCCGCCCTTTTCTCCCGCTTTCCATCACCCTGCCCCATTCTCCCGCTTTCCATCACCCCGCCCCATTCTCCCGCTTTCCATCACCCCACCCAATTCTCCCGCTTTCCATCACCCCGCCCCATTTTCCCGCTTTCCATAACCCCGCCCCATTCTCCCGCTTTCCATCACCCCGCCCCATTCTCCCGCTTTCCATCACCCCGCCCCATTCTCCCGCTTTCCATCACCCCGCCCCATTCTCCCGCATTCCATCACCCCGCCCCATTCTCCCGCTTTTACATCACCCCGACCCATTCTCCCGCTTTCCATCACCCCGCCCCATTCTCCCGCTTTCCATCACACAGCCCCATTCTCCAGCTTTCCATCACCCCACCCCGTTCTCCCTCCTTCCATCATCCCGCCTCATTCTCCCTCCTTCCATCACCCCGCCCCATTCTCCCGCTTTCCATCACCCCGCCCCATTCTCCCGCTTTCCATCACCCCGCCCCATTCTCCCTCCTTCCATCACCCCGCCCCATTCTCCCGCCTTCCATCACCCCACCCAATTCTCCTGCTTTCCATCACCCCGCCCCATTCTCCCGCTTTCCATAACCCCGCCCCATTCTCTCGCTTTCCATCACCCCGCCCCATTCTCCCGCTTTCCATCACCCCGCCCCATTCTCCCGCTTTCCATCACCCCGCCCCATTCTCCCGCTTTCCATCACCCCGCCCCATTCTCCCGCATTCCATCACCCCGCCCCATTCTCCCGCTTTCCATCACCCCGCCCCATTCTCCTGCTTTCCATCACCCCGCCCCATTCTCCCGCTTTCCATCACACCGGCCCTTTCTCCCGCTTTCCATCACCCCACCCCGTTCTCCCTCCTTCCATCATCCCGCCCCGTTCTCCCTCCTTCCATCACCCCGCCCCATTCTCCCGCATTCCATCACCCCGCCCCATTCTCCCGCTTTCCATCACCCCGCCCCATTCTCCTGCTTTCCATCACCCCGCCCCATTCTCCCGCTTTCCATCACACCGGCCCATTCTCCCGCTTTCCATCACCCCACCCCGTTCTCCCTCCTTCCATCATCCCGCCCCGTTCTCCCTCCTTCCATCACCCCGCCCCATTCTCCCGCTTTCCATCACCCCGCCCCATTCTCCCTCCTTCCATCACCCCGCCCCATTCTCCCGCTTTCCATCACCCCGCCCCATTCTCCCGCTATCCATCACCCCGCCACATTCTCCCGCTTTCCATCACCCCGCCCCATTTTCCCGCTTTCCATCACCCCGCCCCATTCTCCCGCTTTTCATCACCTCGCCCCATTCTCCCGCTTTCCATCACCCCGCCCCATTCTCCCGCTTTCCATCACCCCGCCCCATTCTCCCGCTTTCCATCACCCCGCCCCATTCTCCCGCTTTCCATCACCCCGCCCCATTCTCCCGCTTTCCATCACCCCGCCCCATTCTCCCGCATTCCATCACCCCGCCCCATTCTCCCGCTTTCCATCACCCCGCCCCATTCTCCTGCTTTCCATCACCCCGCCCCATTCTCCCGCTTTCCATCACACCGGCCCGTTCTCCCGCTTTCCATCACCCCACCCCGTTCTCCCTCCTTCCATCATCCCGCCCCGTTCTCCCTCCTTCCATCACCCCGCCCCATTCTCCCGCTTTCCATCACCCCGCCCCATTCTCCCGCATTCCATCACCCCGCCCCATTCTCCCGCTTTCCATCACCCCGCCCCATTCTCCTGCTTTCCATCACCCCGCCCCATTCTCCCGCTTTCCATCACACCGGCCCGTTCTCCCGCTTTCCATCACCCCACCCCGTTCTCCCTCCTTCCATCATCCCGCCCCGTTCTCCCTCCTTCCATCACCCCGCCCCATTCTCCCGCTTTCCATCACCCCGCCCCATTCTCCCTCCTTCCATCACCCCGCCCCATTCTCCCGCTTTCCATCACCCCGCCCCATTCTCCCGCTATCCATCACCCCGCCACATTCTCCCGCTTTCCATCACCCCGCCCCATTTTCCCGCTTTCCATCACCCCGCCCCATTCTCCCGCTTTCCATCACCTCGCCCCATTCTCCCGCTTTCCATCACCCCGCCCCATTCTCCCGCTTTCCATCACCCCGCCCCATTCTCCCGCTTTCCATCACCCCGCCCCATTCTCCCGCTTTCCATCACCCCGCCCCATTCTCCCGCTTTCCATCACCCCGCCCTTTTCTCCCTCCTTCCATCACCCCGCCCAATTCTCCCGCTTTCCATCACCCCGCCCCATTCTCCCGCTTTCCATCACCCCGCCCCATTCTCCCGCTTTCCATCACCCCGCCCCATTCTCCCGCTTTCCATCACCCCGCCCCATTCTCCCTCCTTCCATCACCCCGCCCCATTCTCCCTCCTTCCATCACCCCGCCCCATTCTCCCGCCTTCCATCACCCTACACAATTCTCCCGCTTTCCATCACCCCGCCTCATTCTCCTGCTTTCCATCACCCCGCCCCATTCTCCTGCTTTCCATCACCCAGCCCCATTCTCCCGCTTTCCATCACCCCGCCCCATTCTCCCACTTTCCATCACCCCGCCCCATTCTCCCTCCTTCCATCACCTCGCCCCATTCTCCTACTTTCCATCACCCCGCCCCATTCTCCCTCCCTCCATCACCCCGCCCCATTCTCCCTCCTTCCATCACCCCGCCCCATTCTCCCGCTTTCCATCACCCCGCCCCATTCTCCCTCCTTCCATCACCGCGCCCCATTCTCCCTCCTTCCATCACCCTGCCCCATTCTCCCTCCTTCCATCACCCCGCCCCATTCTCCCGCCTTCCATCACCCCGCCCCATTCTCCCGCTTTCCATCACCCCGCCCCATTCTCCCTCCTTCCATCACCCCGCCCCATTCTCCCTCCTTCCATCACCCCGCCCCATTCTCCCGCCTTCCATCATCCCCCATTACCCCGCCCCATTCTCCCTCCTTCCATCACCCCGCCCCATTCTCCCTCCCATCACCCCGCCCCATACTCCCGCTTTCCATCACCCCGCCCCATTCTCACGCTTTCCATAACCCCGCCCCATTCTCCCGCTTTCCATCACCCCGCCCCATTCTCCCGCTTTCAATCACCCCGCCCCATTCTCCCGCTTTCAATCACCCCGCCCCATTCTCCCGCTTTCCATCACCCCGCCCCATTCTCCCGCTTTCCATCACCCCGCCCTTTTCTCCCACTTTCCATCACCCTGCCCCATTCTCCCGCTTTCCATCACCCCGCACCATTCTCCCGCTTTCCATCACCCCGCCCCATTCTCCCGCTTTCCATCACCCCGCCCCATTCTCCCGCTTTCCATCACCCCGCCCCATTCTCCCTCCTTCCATCACCCCGCCCCATTCTCCCTCCTTCCATCACCCCGCCCCATTCTCCCGCTTTCCATCACCACGCCCCATTCTCCCGCTTTCCATCACCCCGCCCCATTCTCTTGCTTTCCATCACCCTGCCCCATTCTCCCGCTTTCCATCACCCCGACCCATTCTCCCGCTTTCCATCACCCCGCCCCATTCTCCCGCTTTCCTTCAACCCGCCCCATTCTCCCTCCTTCCATCACCCCGCCACATTCTCCCGCTTTCCATCACCCCGCCCTATTCTCCCGCTTTCCATCACCCTGCCCCATTCTCCCTCCTTCCATCATCCCGCCCCATTCTCCCTCCTTCCATCACCCCGCCCCATTCTCCCTCCTTCCATCACCCTGCCCCATTCTCCCGCCTTCCATCACCCCGCCCCATTCTCCCGCTTTCCATCACCCCGCCCCATTCTCCCGCTTTCCATCACCCCGCCCCATTCTCCCTCCTTCCATCATCCCGCCCCATTCTCCCTCCTTCCATCACCCCGCCCCATTCTCCCTCCTTCCATCACCCTGCCCCATTCTCCCTCCTTCCATCACCCCGCCCCATTCTCCCGCATTCCATCACCCCGCCCCATTCTCCCGCTTTCCTTTACCCCGCCCCATTCTCCTGCTTTCCATCACCCCGCCCCATTCTCCCGCTTTCCATCACCCCGCCCCATTCTCCCGCTTTCCATCACCCTGCCCCATTCTCCTGCTTTTCATCACCCCGCCCCATTCTCCCTCCTTTCATCACCCCGCCCCATTCTCCCTCCTTCCATCACCCCGCCCCATTCTCCCGCTTTCCATCACCCCGCCCCATTCTCCCTCCTTCCATCACTCCGCCCCATTCTCCCTCCTTCCATCACCCCCATATGCAACAATATTGGGGTCGTTGGATGCTTTCCCCTACGCCTATAGGGATCCGTGCGCTTCCTTAGCATTTGTGTGCAGGCACGGCCGACGTCGCGGGCGCCGAACTTTTCTGTGCGCGCGAACCAAGCTGAAGTTGCTCTGGTAGGTGTATTTGAACATGGGCCACCCGAATATGCAACAATATTCGGGTCGTTGGATGCTTTCCCCTACGCCTATAGGGATCCGTGCGCTTCCTTAGCATTTGGGGGCAGGCATGGCCGTCGTCGTGGGCGCCGAACTTTTTTGTGCGCGCGAACCAAGTTGAAGTTGCTCTGGTAGGTGTATTTGAACATGGGCCATCTGAATATGCAACAATATCCGGGTCGTTGGATGCTTTCCCCTACGCCTATAGGGATCCGTGCGCTTCCTTAGCATTTGGGGGCAGGCACGGCCGTCGTCGCGGGCGCCGAACATTTCTGTGCGCACAAACCAAGCTGAAGTTGCTCTGGTAGGTGTATTTGAACATGGGCCACCTAAATATGCAACAATATCCGGGTCGTTGGATGCTTTCCCCTACGCCTATAGGGACCCGTGCGCTTCCTTAGCATTTGGGGGCAGGCACGGCTGTCGTCGCGGGCGCCGAACTTTTCTGTGCGCGCGAACCAAGCTGCTATTGCTCTGGTAGGTGTATTTGAACATGGGCCATTCGAATATGCAACAATATTGGGGTCGTTGGATGCTTTCCCCTACGCATATAGGGATCTGTGCGCTTCCTTAGCATTTGGGGGCAGGCACGGCACTCGTCGCGGGCGCCGAACTTTTCTGTGCGCGCGAACCAAGCTGAAGTTGCTCTGGTAGGTGTATTTGAACATGGGCCATATGAATATGCAACAATATTGGGGTCGTTGGATGCTTTCCCCTACGCCTATAGGGATCCGTGCGCTTCCTTAGCATTTGTGTGCAGGCACGGCCGACGTCGCGAGCGCCGAACTTTTCTGTGCGCGCGAACCAAGCTGAAGTTGCTTTGGTAGGTGTATTTGAACATGGGCCACCCGAATATGCAACAACATTCGGGTCGTTGGATGCTTTCCCCTACGCCTATAGGGATCCGTGCGCTTCCTTAGCATTCGGGGGCAGGCATGGCCGTCGTCGCGGGCGCCGAACTTTTTTGTGCGCGCGAACCAAGTTGAAGTTGCTCTGGTAGGTGTATTTGAACATGTGCCATCTGAATATGCAACAATATCCGGGTCGTTGGATGCTTTCCCCTACGCCTATAGAGATCCGTGCGCTTCCTTAGCATTTGGGGGCATGCACGGCCGTCGTCGCGGGCGCCGAACTTTTCTGTGCGCGCAAACCAAGCTGAAGTTGCTCTGGTAGGTGTATTTGAACATGGGCCACCTAAAAATGCAACAATATCCGGGTCGTTGGATGCTTTCCCCTACGCCTATAGGGACCCGTGCGCTTCCTTAGCATTTGGGGGCAGGCACGGCCGTCGTCGCGGGCGCCGAACTTTTCTGTGCGCGCGAACCAAGCTGAAGTTGCTCTGGTAGGTGTATTTGAATATGCAACAATATTCGGGTCGTTGGATGCTTTTCCCTACGCCTATAGGGATCCGTGGGCTTCCTTAGCATTTGTGTGCAGGCACGGCCGACGTCGCGGGCGCCGAACTTTTCTGTGCGCGCGAACCAAGCTGAAGTTGCTCTGGTAGGTGTATTTGAACATGGGCCATCTGAATATGCAACAATATCCGGGTCGTTGGATGCTTTCCCCTACGCCTATAGGGATCCGTGCGCTTCCTTAGCATTTGTGTGCAGGGGCGGCCGTCGTCGCGGGCGCCGAACTTTTCTGTGCGCGCGAACCAAGCTGAAGTTGCTCTGGTAGGTGTATTTGAACATGGGCCACCTAAATATGCAACAATATCCGGGTCCTTGGATGCTTTCCCCTACGCCTATAGGGACCCGTGCGCTTACTTAGCATTTGGGGGCAGGCACGGCCGTCGTCGCGGGCGCCGAACTTTTCTGTGCGCGCGAACCACGCTGAAGTTGCTCTGGTAGGTGTATTTGAACATGGGCCATCCGAATATGCAACAATATTGGGGTCGTTGGATGCTTTTTCCTACGCCTATAGGGATCCGTGCGCCATCGTCGCGGGCGCCGAACTTTTCTGTGCGCGCGAACCACGCTGAAGTTGCTCTGGTAGGTGTATTTGAACATGGGCCACCTGAATATGCAACAATATTCGGGTCATTGGATGCTTTTTCCTACGCCTATAGGGATCCGTGGGCTTCCTTAGCATTTGGGGGCAGGCACGGCCATCGTCGCGGGCGCCGAACTTTTCTGTGCGCGCGAACCACGCTGAAGTTGCTCTGGTAGGTGTATTTGAACATGGGCCATCTGAATATGCAACAATATCCGGGTCGTTGGATGCTTTTCCCTACGCCTATAGGGATCCGTGCGCTTCCTTAGCATTTGTGTGCAGGCACGGCCGACGTCGCGGGCGCCGAACTTTTCTGTGCGCGCGAACCACGCTGAAGTTGCTCTGGTAGGTGTATTTGAACATGGGCCATCTGAATATGCAACAATATCCGGGTCTTTGGATGCTTTCCCCTACGCCTATAGGGATCCGTGCGCTTCCTTAGCATTTGTGTGCAGGGGCGGCCGTCGTCGCGGGCGCCGAACTTTTCTGTGCGCGCGAACCACGCTGAAGTTGCTCTGGTAGGTGTATTTGAACATGGGCCATCTGAATATGCAACAATATCCGGGTCTTTGGATGCTTTCCCCTACGCCTATAGGGATCCGTGCGCTTCCTTAGCATTTGTGTGCAGGGGCGGCCGTCGTCGCGGGCGCCGAACTTTTCTGTGCGCGCGAACCAAGCTGAAGTTGCTCTGGTAGGTGTATTTGAACATGGGCCATCTGAATATGCAACAATATCCGGGTCTTTGGATGCTTTCCCCTACGCCTATAGGGATCCGTGCGCTTCCTTAGCATTTGTGTGCAGGGGCGGCCGTCGTCGCGGGCGCCGAACTTTTCTGTGCGCGCGAACCAAGCTGAAGTTGCTCTGGTAGGTGTATTTGAACATGGGCCATCTGAATATGCAACAATATCCGGGTCCTTGGATGCTTTTCCCTATGCCTATAGGGATCCGTGCGCTTCCTTAGCATTTGTGTGCAGGCACGGCCGTCGTCGCGGGCGCCGAACTTTTCTGTGCGCGCGAACCAAGCTGAAGTTGCTCTGGTAGGTGTATTTGAACATGGGCCACCTAAATATGCAACAATATCCGGGTCGTTGGATGCTTTCCCCTACGCCTATATGGACCCGTGCGCTTCCTTAGCATTTGGGGGCAGGCACGGCCGTCGTCGCGGGCGACGAACTTTTCTGTGCGCGCGAACCACGCTAAATTTGCTCTGGTAGGTGTATTTGAACATGGGCCATCCGAATATGCAACAATATTCGGGTCGTTGGATGCTTTTCCCTACGCCTATAGGGATCCGTGCGCTTCCTTAGCATTTGGGGGCAGGCATGGCCGTCGTCGCGGGCGCCGAACTTTTCTGTGCGCGCGAACCAAGCTGAAGTTGCTCTGGTAGGTGTATTTGAACATGGGCCATCTGAATATGCAACAATATCCGGGTCTTTGGATGCTTTCCCCTACGCCTATAGGGATTCGTGCGCTTCCTTAGCATTTGTGTGCAGGGGCGGCCGTCGTCGCGGGCGCCCAACTTTTCTGTGCGCGCGAACCACGCTGAAGTTGCTTTGGTAGGTGTATTTGAACATGGGCCACCCGAATATGCAACAAGATTCGGGTCGTTGGATGCTTTTCCCTACGCCTATAGGGATCCGTGCGCTGCCTTAGCATTTGGGGGCAGGCGCGGCCATCGTCGCGGGCGCCGAACTTTTCTGTGCGCGCGAACCACGCTGAAGTTGCTCTGGTAGGTGTATTTGAAAATGGGCCACCCGAATATGCAACAATATTCGGGTCGTTGGATGCTTTTCCCTACGCCTATAGGGATCCGTGCGCTTCCTTAGCATTTGGGGGCAGGCATGGCCGATGTTGCGGGCGCCGAACTTTTCTGTGCGCGCGAACCAAGCTCAAGTCGCTCTGGTAGGTGTATTTGAAAATGGGCCACCCGAATATGCAACAATATCCGGGTCGTTGGATGCTTTTCCCTACGCCTATAGGGATCCGTGCGCTTCCTTAGCATTTGTGTGCAGGCGCGGCCGACATCGCGGGCGCCGAACTTTTCTGTGCGCGCGAACCAAGCTGAAGTCGCTCTGGTAGGTGTATTTGAACAATATCCGGGTCGTTGGATGCTTTTCCCTACGCCTATAGGGATCCGTGCGCTTCCTTAGCACTTGTGTGCAGGCGCGGCCGTCGTCGCGGACGCCGAACTTTTCTGTGCGCGCGAACCACGCTGAAGTTGCTCTGGTAGGTGTATTTGAACATGGGCCATCCGAATATGCAACAATATCCAGGTCCTTGGATGCTTTTCCCTACGCCTATAGGGATCCGTGCGCTTCCTTAGCACTTGTGTGCAGGCACGGCCGTCGTCGCGGGCGCCGAACTTTTCTGTGCGCGCACCTACCAGAGCAACTTCAGCTTGGTTCTCGCGCACAGAAAAGTTCAGCGCCCGCGACGACGGCCGTGCCTGCACACAAATGCTAAGGAAGCGCATGGATCCCTATAGGCGTAGGGATAAGCATCCAACGACCCGGATATTGTTGCATATTCGAATGGCCCATGTATAAATACACCTACCAGAGCAACTTCAGCTTGGTTCGCGCGCACAGAAAAGTTCGGCGCCCGCGACGTCGGCCGTGCCTGCACACAAATGCTAAGGAAGCCCACGGATCCCTATAGGCGTAGGGAAAAGCATCCAACGACCCGAATATTGTTGCATATTTGGGTGGCCCATGTTCAAATACACCTACCAGAGCAACTTCAGCGTGGTTCGCGCGCACAGAAAAGTTCGGCGCCCGCGACGTCGGCCGTGCCTGCACACAAATGCTAAGGAAGCGCACGGGTCCCTATAGGCGTAGGGTAAAGCATCCAACGACCCGGATATTGTTGCATATTCAGGTGGCCCATGTTC